GCATAGATTTGGCATGGAAGGGACATGTCCCCACCAATATCCAGCGATTATTGAATTGTCTCCACCAATAATTTGATTTCTGCCAGTAAAGAAAAACGACAGAAAGAAAAAAACGATCTGTCAACGTCTCATTCACCCAGTGGAGCAGAAAGAGTTAAATTACGTTCTCTACTGGAGTCCTACATCATGTGACAAATATGGCCAATGTGATTGGCTGTGCCTTTCAGGGAGCTCTGTTTAGTTTTAGCAGCAGCAAGGAGGATGGCAGCAAAAAGGAAGAACCTGGATATAAGAAAATATTTTTCAAAGAAACCTGTAAGTCAATTAAAGCCAAGTTCACTCATAAAATGTGTCCGCCATAATAACGTTACAGGCTATGCTAGGCTTTGGCCCACGTCAGTCTAAAACTTTATGTAACCATGAATAATGTGTTTTGGAAACTAACTGCACAACAGGCAGCACTATTAGTTATCCCAGTCTCAGAGTAGCATTTCTAATTTTGATTGAAACTGTCAGAGAAAACGGCAGCCTCGAACAAGCCAGGATATTAGTTTACAGAGGCTGTTAAAATTACATGTCTAACGTTAAAATGTTGGTGACACAATAATTTCATCCTAATGGTACTGACATATTCATAGAGTTAATGTTTGAGACAAAATATCAAGAGGTAGTCATGATTTTGCAAATATTCCACCTTGTAGTGCAGTTTGCACAAATTGTTTTAAAAATGCACTCACGCTACAAACATCACCGATGAGTCAAGATCTGCACAAATTGACAGAAACACTGAAGCAGCTACACATTTTATTCTTCTTGTCATGTATGTCCTATTTGTCAGGTGACAGAAGAACCAACACAAAGCTCAGAGAGTAATGGTGATACAAGATCACAGGAGAGATTGGATGATGACTTGGTGGTTCATTACTGTTTTTGAAGCACACGTGTGACTGCATGTATGTGGAATGTCTCACTGTTATTTATCAGGTGACAGAGGAAGCTCTGCCATGTTGTAGCTCAGACAGAGGTCACAGGTGACTGACTGATGATTCGGTGCTATAGATTTATTAGTGTATATTTGACAAAGAATCTGAATTGACATGTCTCACTTTTTATATGGCACGAATCAATGTGTTATTTTATCAGGTGGCAATATGTCCTAGTGCAGTCAGAGGAGAAGAGCCAGGGCCAAAGGTGAGGCACATCAAGCACATAATAATAATTTTAATCTGAGGATAAAACACATGTACTGAGGCTGAAAGAAGCTTAAGTGCTCTCAGAAGACTAAAAACATGGCTAAGGTCAACAATGACACAAATGAGTTTAAACAATGCTGCGGTGTGCCATGTCCACCAGGAGAGACTGGACAGTATAGATGTAAAACAAATATGCCAGCAGTTTATCTCAGTTAACGAGAGGAGCAGGCATGTGTTTGGCTCCTTCACATAGTGGACATTGAGTTGTTGTGTGGGACACCAGTAGTCCATGTCTGTTGCTGTAACAGGGGCAATAGTGCGCCTAAAATGTTGCATAATTTTGCTGAGAGATCTTTTACTTTGTGGAAATCTTAGATGAGTAGTTTTATGGACAAAAACCACCAGGTCATTCAGTGTTCCCTTAGTGCTAATGTATCAGAGATGTTGGTGTACTATAACTGAAGTAATGTTGTTAAGTCCTTAAAGTCATATTCTTTTATTGTCATGACTGTATTTTTATCTTTGTATGACACCTGATTTATATGGATTATGGCTGAAGTAAACTAAAGTCTAAAATACTTAGTCAGTCATTTGTTTAATAGTAATTTAACATATATAATTCACATATAAAACTATGAATTGTAATTTTAAATAGTTTAAAAGCATGTAGAATAGCATATGTAGGCAAGTATATTACTCCTTTTTTTTTTTTTTTTATCAAGAAGCAAAGACAAAAAGGGAAAAAATAGAAAAAGAAACAGGGCAGACTTCAGTGGTTGAATTATCCGTCCCCACCAATGCCAAAACCAAATCTACGCCCTTGCTGCAGCCTGAGAGCAAAATGCTCTAATGGGGTGATATGGTACTATAAGATCATTAGGATAAGATGGGGTCTGGTTATTCAAGACCCTTGGATGTGATGAGAAGGATTTTTAATTTGATTCAGGATTTAACAGGGAGCCAATGAAGAGAAGCCAATATAGGAGAAATATGCTCTCTCTTTCTAGTTCCTGTTAATAATCTTGTCACAGCATTTTGGATCAACTTTTCAGGTAGGTTTCAGGCTTCCTGATAATAACAAATTACAGTAGCCCAAACGAGATGTAATGAATGAAGTAATAAGTATGTCAACTAGTTTTTTATTGTCACTATTTAATATTTATTTGATGCCCCCTACAGTTTATTTAAGGTGTCCTGTGTTAAATGGCTCCTGGTGGCGCCTCCTGGTCTTTGGATGACATCTGGGCTCCTCAGGTCTGAGGAGCTGAACAATCTGGCTTCTCAGTGCAAACACGCCCTACTGCTATTCTTTGATTTAATATTTGTGTTAGTTCGGGAGGTAGAGTTCTTTTATTATTAAATCAAAGTCCTGCTTTACTAGTCTCCTATACAGTGCTTTCCAGTATTCTTTTGAAAGAGATTTAGACAAAGCGTTTTTTGTCTTTTGTTGTCAGAAAGCATTATTCAGCTGTGCAACCATTGCTATCTTTTAGGCATACTGTGCAAGGTCAAAGGAGCTTGGAAAGAAGAAGTCCAGACGGTTTTCTTTCCAAGCTTCTGGTGACCTGGATGACTGAGAACCTTCACAGAGCTACTGTGCAAGCTACAGTTGTGAAGCTGTCCTTTGGTGACATCTGTAGGCAACACTGAGGAGGTGCAAACTAGTGTGTTTTCCACTAATTCAACCAGAGAAATTATGTCTAAGTCGGTTTGTTTGGGGCCAAAAACCTTAATGTTGTGTTTGTGTTATTACACTCTTACTTTTAATATTGACAAAGTATTTAATATTGTTACTCTGACAATTACATTAACAAAGTTACATTATCATAGTTATGTTAACATAAGAAGTTTCAGTAGTTGTAATACTATTTGCATTATTTACATTATATCCACAATGTTTTAAATTATAAAGGAAAATAGAAATACAAAGTCAGATCAAATCATTGTCATTTTCTAAATGAAAATAACACACACATATATTAATTTATCTTTCATCTATATGAAGTATACATTAAAAATGCACTTCCACCACTAAGGTTTAAAAATTACTTGTTCAGCATAAAGTTCTTTTTAAAATCTGATTATTTCAATAATGTCACCACGAATAAACTATATTAACCGACAGCTGGCTGACTAAATCCCCTATCTGAGAAAAAAAAAGGAAGGAATGCATTTCACGTTGGCTGTGCTGCAATATTTACACAATCTATAAACAAGAACTGATCAACTGTCACACAGCATCTGTGCAAGTGTCTCCACTGTGTGTAGATGTGTACATAGGAGTGTTACAAAAGATCACATCAAGGAAGCAACTAAAAGGTATGATAGAAACAACACATAATTTCTTTTCAACATCTTTATTTGAAGTTTTTCAAAATCATATAAAGTATGAAAAACAATACTGTGATAAAATGACACTGAATGCCCATTTCATACATGAGGTGTCCAATATTTAACAATGAAAATCAAGCATAAACAGACCAAGCGTTCTGAATGACTGCAGACTTTCTCTTTCTTTTTCTTTTTTTGCTCAGTTCAGATATTACAAACAATTTTTCTTCAAACTTCATGTGTAGCTAGGTTGGCTAAGCATTTGACCTTGACCTTCACTGTTAGTACCCAAGGTCAATGTTGACCCAGAAATATTATAGTATATATTATTTCATGGTCATAGGTTAAAGGTCAGACATCGGTGTGTTGTTATAAAAGCAGGCTGATGTAGCATTTCTGTTACATCACGCTGGCGCCGGGCTGGCGCCGGGCTGGCGCCAGCATGATGTAAGTTTTTCGTATGACCACTTTCTTTCTGTGGGGATTTGTGTTCTCTGAAGCTCTTGTTCAATTCACTTAAATTCCATTTAATAGAAATAAATTCATTTTTTTTTTGTAGGCTGGACTATTAATCCAAAACAGTGGAGCAAGAGCACTGACAGGGACAAGAAAAAGCGATAACAATCCTATAATATTAACTTTTTTCATTGACTCCCTGGTGAATCCAGCATTGTATGTAAAATCCTTCTGACTTATAAAATCTTGAAGAATCAGGCCCCAATCATATCTTAAAGGCCTCAAAGTACCACATTAAGAACCATGACTCAGCTATCCTGCAGTGGGCTCAGATTGCTGTGCAACTCCTTCACTACTCACGTTCCTTAACTCCCCAAGTGTTTACATATCACTGCAGCATAGAATTAGATTTTCGCCTTCTCTTTCCCTGTGCGTGTTTGTCCCTTTTGTCCTATACTGTCTTTTTCTTATTTTCTCTTTCCTCTCACCCCCAACAGGTCACTGCAGATGGCTGCCCCTACCCAAACCTGGCCCTGCCAGAAACTTTTTCCTGTTAAAAGAGAGTTTTCCCTTACACGTGGTGTTTTCTAGTGCTTTAAGGACCTTGCAGTATTAGGCCATGTTCACACTATGTTTTTGTTTGAAAACGCCTCTTTTTCTCTCCGTTTTGACCTTCCGTCCACACTGAGACGGCGTTTTCTGTGAAGGAAAACACAGTGTTTTGAAAACGCTCTCCAAAGCGGATACATTTGAAAACACCGTTTTCGCGTCGCAGCGTGGACAGTGAACCCGGAGCCTTTTCAAAAACGATGGCGCATTTCAGTCATGTAATGCAGTCATGTGACCAATTAAATAAGATAGCGGAGGGCATTATACAGCATTTGTTTTGTTTGCCCTCAGCTTTGACAGCCCTATTAAAGATTAATATCAGTTTGTACATGCTCCAGATAGCTTTTCTTCAATTTCTTTAATTCTCACTCGCTTTTGCAACTTTGTACTTTTGTGTTACTCGCAGCAACAACTCCACCTCGTTGTTAGTCCATTAAAAAAACTCTGTGGTTTTCCTCATCGTTTTGCCGCGACGTTTCAAAGAGCCGGAAAGTAAATAAACGGCAGACAAAAATAAAGAAGGTCGAATCGAATCATCTTGCATTTCACGCATGCTCAGTACCGGAACAGCGTTTTCGGCCGTTTAAATGTGGGCACGGAACTCTGTTAAAACGACTGAAAACGATAGTGTGGACGCGGAGCGTTTTCAGATGAAAACAATGGATGAACCTTTTATTAACAACAAGTAATAAACCACTATGAAAACACCTCACTACAAATGAAACTGGGAACTTGTAATAAAGTGATTATCAGTGTTGTAGGGCTCAGCATAACGCCTGGAAATGTTTATGGTTAAGCATGTTTTATGTCCTGTGAGGACCATAATAGCTTTTAATTAACCCCAAAACACAAGCTTATGTCTTGATTTTAAATAGCATATGTTATTGGACTCAATTATTAAATCAATCAAACTATTCAAATTATATATCACATTAAATATATGTATTTTAAAAAATCTAATGTGAAGTTATCCTAGCTCATTATTCTCTATACACACATACTGTGGTCCTTTCAATATGGAAAAAAAAACCTAAGAAATGTCTACATCTGTACTCGTGTGTTGATTTTCATACTTTAAGACTTCAAACTTCTGGTCTTTGTAAGACTTCTTCCCCGTAGTTAAATAAAGGAGGACAATGTCGCAAAAGAAGGTTCCCTGTTGAAAAGAATTTTATTCAATTCTGTGATATATATGTAAAAAAAATGCTGTTCAATTCATTTAATATCATGTTGATTTAATTATTAATGATACTCACAGCTCCCATCACAGCCAGTCCTGAACCAATATTGACGACCAAGGGTACTATGGCAAACTTTCCAGCCTGTGGAGGAGATCAGAAACCCAAGAGATGTTTTTAAATAGGATTTTATTACAATTTATTTTTGTTCAAAGAGCAAAGACTGCAGTGCTCTTTTCAAATCATTCCTAATAACCCCTCTCCTAAGAAGAGAGGATACTACTACTAATAATAATAATGGTATTTTTGCATTGGTGTTATATGTATTGGCTTTATTACATAAATTATCTTATTGTAATGCATTGGCACCATTTATGCATTCATTCTGTCACTGATGCATTGTACATACCTTCCCATATACCAGGATATGAAATCGTATGCCATAAACTTTGTATAGAGATCGATAGCTTTCACCAGTAGCATTTTTAAAGTATCTTGCATGTCTGTTAGAGAAGAAAACAAAAATATATATAAGATAAACATAAATAACCTTTAGGTATGGTTATGGTTCTTTATTCCTTTCATAAGTTGTAAAGATGATTACATGTCTGTGCACCATGCCAACAAAGATGCTCTGCAGTGAGCCTCACCTGAAGTTAAATCCTGTTGCGATGCTCTTGTTGGAGACAGTGGCATCCAGGCGAGTGAACTGGTACTCTGGATTACAGTGAGAGGTGCCTTTGTCAAGGTCACAGTCCCACTGTATCACAATGCCAATAGCGCCACCCTAACAAAACAGTGAAAACATGCTTATTCTAAGATTTTTATTTTTATACATGTATTCAAATTTGGATACCTGTATGCATTCCATTAGTGGTGTTTTACCTGCGTTCATTCACAGCTGTATAGAAAACATTTGTTAAACATTAGCTACATCCTGCTAGTACCAGATCAGACCCCTTTAATCCTTCAGAACACAAAGAACTAATTCTTCATGGCACTGAACATTCCACAGAGAACAGTCCACATGACATGACAGAACCACACAGCTGCACATCAAGGGAATTAATTTCCCATTTCACCACATTCCACAGGTTCTCTGTTAGCTCTTGTGACTGGAGGCCATTATAGTTAAGTGAGCTCATTGCCATGTTCAAAAACAGTTTGAGATCAGGTTTTGTCAGAGTTTTGTGACATGGTGCATTATCCTGCTGGAAGAAGCTGTCAGAAAATGGGTACACTGTGGCTATCAAGGAATAGAACTACAGAAAGTAATCTTGATCATGTCTTAATTCCTAAATGCATTGACTTGGTGCATTGTAATTGGCTGATTAGATATTCCACTTAATGATCCCAAATCATTAAGTGGAATGATTTGGGACAGTTGAACAGTTGTACCTAATGAAGTAGGAAACATGAGAAACTTTGTTCAGTGGGACATGTTTCGGTTGTCTCACAATTTCTCCCAAGAACAATGAGCAAAGGTCATGACTAATAACAGTAACTAAAAAAAACCTTTAAGTCATGGATTCAGTCATCATAATTATTTTGGGGTATAAACTCTATGTGTGTTAGAAAGTAACATTTGAGGTTATATCACATCAACACAATCTTGAGAAAATACAATGTAATACTAACAAGTGTGGCCATGTCTTGGAAGTTGCATCCAGCTCTTCTCGTAATGTCTCCCAGGCGAAAGATGGGGCAGTAGGGGTATTGCTTCTCATCATATCTGCATTTCTTCAAGTAGGATTGATCAGTTGTTTTGAGGATGTTGGACCTCAGAGTTAAGAAAAACACATATTTATGGTTGTGAACTGCTTATTGCACACAGCAATATCCAGCTAGTCAGCAAGTACAAGGAGATATTGTTGTAAATGTTAAAGAGGACTTACTTTGAAAATGAGAATTTAGGAAACTGGATGAAATTCTTGATGTAGATGGTGAAGTTTTCAGCATTTTTGAGCAAAGGCTTTCTGTGAAAACAAAATGTTAAGTAAATATACATTTTTGTGAATAAATGTATAAGACAACAATAAAAACAAATCAAAGTCAAACCTTCCTGTAGCAGATAGAGAGGGATTGTGATTGAATTGCTGAGTGGGAAATGAACCCATCTATGACCCAGTGCTGTTTAATGTGAGCTGATACAATACTATTATAAGACTGGGTCATGAAGCTGAGTGTCTCAGTGTAGGACATCCTTAGTTTAGATTTAGTGCCAAACCTGTTGTGCTGACCCGATAAATGACAACTACACGTGATTTGCCTGAATGTTTGTGCATGTTAGTGCAGAGAGAAAGGAGGATTGGTCATTTCAAATGTGTCCTCACTGTGGTTTGATGTTTTTTTCAGTTGGACACCAGCCAAAGATTTCACAGGTCCCATTGGAGTTTTCATTGTTTCTTATGCATTTGCCGCTCATGACTCCTTTAGACAACAGACAAAAAAAAAACTGTTTAAAAACATCTAAATGATCATGTGAAAAGAGTTTCTGATTCAGACATGTTTCACAAATATAATATCAGGATGTTTCTTTCTCACCATGACCAGACTCCACCATCTTTCCCTTTTTACAGTCCTTGTCAACACTACAGTGGCCATTAAGCACTTTGTGGCTCTGAGAACAAAAAAAGGACAGAGGCAATGTAAAAAAAAAAAAAAACACAACACAACACAGAACCAAGTGTGATATAGTATATCGAACTAAATGATAAATACAGTGGGGTAAAAAAGTATTTAGTCAGCCACCGATTGTGCAAGTTCCCCCACTTAAAATGATGACAGAGGTCAGTAATTTGCACCAGAGGTACACTTCAACTGTGAGAGACAGAATGTGAAAAAAAAATCCATGAATGCACATGGTAGGATTTGTAAAGAATTTATTCGTAAATCAGGGTGGAAAATAAGTATTTGGTCACCTCAAACAAGGAAAATCTCTGGCTCTCACAGACCTGTAACGTCTTCTTTAAGAAGCTTTTCTGTCCCCCACTCGTTACCTGTATGAATGGCACCTGTTTGAACTCATCATCTGTATAAAAGACACCTGTCCACAGCCTCAAACAGTCAGACTCCAAACTCCGCCATGGCCAAGACCAAAGAGCTTTCGAAGGACACCAGGAAAAGTATTGTAGACCTGCACCAGACTGGGAAGAGTGAATCTACAATAGGCAAGCAGCTTGGTGTGAAAAAATCAACTGTGGGAGCAATCATCAGAAAATGGAAGACATACAAGACCACTGATAATCTCCCTCGATCTGGGGCTCCACGCAAGATCTCATCCCGTGGGGTCAAAATGATCATGAGAACGGTGAGCAAAGATCCCAGAACCACACGGGGGGACCTGGTGAATGACCTGCAGAGAGCTGGGACCAAAGTAACAAAGGTCACCATCAGTAACACACTACAACGGCAGGGAATCAAATCCCGCAGTGCCAGACGTGTTCCGCTGCTGAAGCCAGTGCATGTCCAGGCCCGTCTGAAGTTTGCCAGAGAGCACATGGATGATACAGCAGAGGATTGGGAGAATGTCATGTGGTCAGATGAAACCAAAGTAGAACTTTTTGGTATAAACTCAACTCGTCGTGTTTGGAGGAAGAAGAATACTGAGTTGCATCCCAAGAACACCATACCTACTGTGAAGCATGGGGGTGGAAACATCATGCTATGGGGCTGTTTTTCTGCCAAGGGGACAGGACGACTGATCCGTGTTAAGGACAGAATGAATGGGGCCATGTATCGTGAGATTTTGAGCCAAAACCTCCTTCCATCAGTCAGAACTTTGAAGATGAAACGAGGCTGGGTCTTCCAACATGACAATGATCCAAAACACACCGCCCGGGCAACAAAGGAGTGGCTCCGTAAGAAGCATTTGAAAGTCCTGGAGTGGCCTAGCCAGTCTCCAGACCTCAACCCCATAGAAAATCTGTGGCGGGAGTTGAAAGTCCGTGTTGCTCGGCGACAGCCCCAAAACATCACTGCTCTCGAGAAGATCTGCATGGAGGAATGGGCCAAAATACCAGCTACTGTTTGTGCAAACCTGGTAAAGACCTATAGTAAACGTTTGACCTCTGTTATTGCCAACAAAGGTTATGTTACAAAGTATTGAGTTGTATTTTTGTTATTGACCAAATACTTATTTTCCACCCTGATTTACGAATAAATTCTTTACAAATCCTACCATGTGGATTCATGGATTTTTTTTTTCACATTCTGTCTCTCACAGTTGAAGTGTACCTCTGGTGCAAATTACTGACCTCTGTCATCATTTTAGGTGGGGGAACTTGCACAATCGGTGGCTGACTAAATACTTTTTTGCCCCACTGTACATATGTAAATGTAAGTCAAAAATAAGGGATACAAAGTCAGAATTTACAAATATAACACAAAAAGTAAATGTCAGTATATTTAATGCAGTCATAACTTGTTAGCATCCAAGAATATCTTAATCTAAAATAGAAGATTTCTGTATTCTTGCAACATGGTGAATATGAAAGTCAAATGAAGCCAAGGGTGTTAAATGGATGCATGTCTGTGCTTTTTCTATTTTACTAGAACTCAACCGTTAAAAATGGCACATACTGCATGATACCAAAAGGCTCCCCTGCAAGTGTCAGACCCTGCTCTCAGTTTCGGTCAATATTTATAAGAGCACATTTTTATGGCTGTTTGTTTGGCTCTTCTTCTTAGCTGATGGCTATCAGGCAGGCAACCCAGAGAGTCTTCTGGGTTTACATACTGTATATTGTGAGCTGAAAATAAATCATGAATACTGACACACATACACACTCATATGATGAGGATGGAGGTGACAAAATGGGTTAAGAGGTGTGAGGAAAACACTTCTCTGCTACCGTGCAAACAATATGTTACCATGCAGGAGAGGAATTACAGGTCAGCCACAAACCAATGTGTATAACTTTAAACACATGATGCCCTTTTCGGGTGGGCCATGAAGCACTGGAGGAAGCCTCCACAGTCTGTTATATTCACATGCAGAGTGATAAAGTAGTTTCATAAAATATCATTCTTCCACATTCTGGCACTTTATGGTGTTACCTATCTCATGTAATCACTTATTGAGAAAAAGTTTTTTCCTGTAAGTAACAGACAAAATGAAACAAACCCCTAAATAAATAGTGCATACTCTCCTTAGAGTTAACATCATTTACTTGCAACACAGTATGACACACTTTATCTGACCTGTACTTGCAAGAGGAAACTGTCTGTGGTGTGGTGCATGCTAGAAAAATTGGGCTGGCAGGTGAAAGGTTAAAGTGAAAATGAAATCAACAGGAGAGGCAATATTTCCGTTGTCAGTAAAACAAGGGAATGTTAGAAGAATTGTTTTATTTGATGGCAAATGAGTCTGTAGAATGACCAGCAATTAAAACTGAGACAACGACCTGATCATCACCGCTGCCATTCATCAAATCTAAAAACAATGAAAACACCTCTTAGTTAAAGTTAGAAATACCATCACTGTGGTCTATTATGCCCAGTCAGTGATTTAAAGTGAAAACAAAATGTTCTCACCTCAGCACAGTAACCCATCTTCTGGTTTGGTGTCTCTAAGAAGCTGGTTACAACAAACAGAACATCTTCACCCTGAATGACAAAAAGAAAATAACAGACAAAATGTCAAAGTCTCATCAGCAGTGCATGGCTTTAATCTAGTCTGAAATATTAAAAGTGTTCTCACCTGTGGGGGGATGACATACTCCTCAGGTCCCCACACAAGCAGACCAGATTCACTGGTGTTGGTCACCGCAGTTCCCTTCACTTTAGTTAAGACAGAACTCTGGATGGCATCATCTATCTCCTGGTAGCCTTGCTTGACTATGAAAACCCACCTTTAAATCAAAGCAGAACTACCCAGTGTTCTCGCAGGTCTTTGGTAAAAGCTTTGGTGCAAACCTTATGCAAATATTTTATATGTTTTTGCCTTTTTCAGCTGTCTTTTGTGACATACAGTATGCAGTGAGGGGTGATACTGCTAGTCAGGTGTATCAAAGTGGTTGGCTTAGTGGGACTCTCTAACCTTGCAAGGCCTGGAATGAAGAGTTTGTTTTTTTGTTTACATTTTTATTATTATTAATTAATTAGTTTCATAAGTAAATTGCCCAAATGAACTGGCTGTGTGACTGAACTTCTATTTCAACATATTGTGGAGGCTCAGGGGTCCTTTCATCACTTAAAAAGAACCAAAATGGTTTAGTCCACACTGCGATTTACATTGTTCGCAGAATAAAATACTTTAGCATATTTAGCAGGAGGTTATACTGAAAGCTTACAAATACTAACCTCAAGTAAAATTTGGGCTTATTGAATGAGGGACCAGTGGTTCTCAGAGGACGTGCTGTGAGACAATGAGAACGTTCGGAGGACTTTCCGAATGTTTCCTGACTCTGTGTTTGCAAGGGGCACTTTAAACCACGGCCAGCTACTGGCTCTGAGATTGTAGCTGTTCTCCAGGGCAATGAACTTGGTGTAGTTTAATTATCGCTTCTCACTTTCTGCTTTATTTTGATAGTTAATTGTCCCTTGTGCTTTTCATTTAGTTTTGCTTCGCCTTCTCACATCCTCCGTGATTTAGTTCAACTATATCTACTTCCCCGATTGCCCTTCTGTGTTTATAGAAAATGCCATCTTCCTGTGTCATCTGTCCCATCAGTCTCCTGGTCCCAGTTTGTTCCCATGCCTCAGTTTAGTTTCTTCTCTTAGGGTTCTGTTTTGCCTTTTGGACTTTTTACAACAGCCAAATAAAGCAGACTGTTTTGTTGCTAAACCCCTGCCTGTGTTCTGTATTTACATCACACTCAAAACAGTCTCCCAAATCAGCAAACTGTGACAATATACAAGCAGTCTCAGCGACCCTCTTCCATGTTGACCCACATCTCTGACGAATGTTTTAAAGGAATAAGTTAGCCAGCGGCTGTACATGACAATCAGTGGGTATTGTTGGGGTGACCAGTAATGAGCAGTTCATATGCTATGTTCAATGAAAATCAATGATAAAGGTTTTCCACAAAGTCTGCACAGTTTGAAACCTCCCCACATTTGCAATCCTCAAAAATGATTCCTAATAATACTTTTTAGTTGCCACTAAACGATCTCACCTTGTGTCACATCATTTGGAGAAGGACCTGCTGTTTCATTGTGTTCAGCTGTCCTCATTAACACTGTGTCACATCTGATATTAACAGCAGCTCATAGCCAAATGATTTCTTAGTCACATTTGTGTGCTTTTCATATTCTTCTTTATTTGAGGTAAGACCACAGTAACAGTGTGCATTAGCAGTAACCTAATATCTTAGCTGTGAAATTGGTCTAACCCATTTTTCTAATTTTGCTAAGGGATAAAAGCAACATCAAAGCCTCCACTATTAATACAAACAAAGTTTGGATTAAAGCCCCCCCCCCCATGAATGAGTGGGTAGCCCCCCTTTTCCTCCCACTATAACAGGGACTCTCTGATCTTTGTGCTGATAACATTAAAGGAATCCTAACAGATCGTGGTTCAAACACTGCACGTCATAAACCTAATATAATCTGACGCATTTTCACACACCAAAACATTTAAACTCAGTTATAAAGATAAGTGTTGTGTAAAAATTGTTTTGTGCAGACTTATATGCACAGTTCTCTACATTCTACCCACATGACACCTAAAGATTACTGTGTGCGGTTTTCGGCTGTCATCGGTAAGCCAGGAATAGACCCCTTGTGTTCCGTTTTCCGCCCCTGTTGTGTCCCAGGTAACACTTTTGAATTGTGTCGGGTAAAGCGAGACGCTGAACCGCATGCCACAAGTGCGCATAAGTTCAGGCAAAAACAAAAAACAAAACAGTGAAAGAGAAACGTTCATGTGGTATTTGCTCAAACGCACAGGTCAAAATTCTGACATTTTAAGCATTTTATTTTTAATTTTGCTTACTTCTTTAAAGTATAAAATAAGCGTGTAACGTGCGAATAGTCTACTATTCAATACAATAAATGAACCGCTCATTCAAAAATTAATATTTTTTGTTTGTTTGTTTTATTCTGTTTACCAAACGATATGCTACAGACAAAGCCCAAATGTTATTATATTTGTTCAGAGACTTATTTTAAGTTAACCCGTTAAGTAATAACATGTACAGTGCATGAAATTATACGTGGCAATAATGCACTTACCCTATTATGTAACCAATGACAGATAACTGAAAAAGTCTGTGCAACACTCCGACTGCCTTATTTTTTGTATCAATGTATTTTTCTGTTTTGTAGTTCAGTAAGGAGTTGATCGCGGCCGTGGCCATCACGCAGCTCTTAGTCTGCAGTTTGATGTCAGTGTTAAAACGAAACTTGATTGTAATGGAAAGATTCGATGCGAGCTCTTACAGCAAACACCGCGTGGGAGGCGAAAACACACCTCATTGCACAACCACCGCCAAGCGTACATTAGCCACAATATGTATTTAGGTATTACTGTTGGACTTCCCTAGTATCAAAGTCAAGGCAGAATGGAAAAGGTAAAAGAACATCAACACGCAACAATTAACTGTAAAAACAAATTAAGCAAGGAAAAACAGGAAAGGGTCTCCTATAAAATGCCTGATTAAAATCTGTATTCATTGTTACGTTTGTTAATCCAGTTACTTGTTTTTAAACTGCATGATTTGTTGTTTTTTTTTTAATTTACTTATTTATTTTAATCCAATTCCAATCCAATTTTATTCATAAAGCACTTTAAAATACCCAGCACAGGAACAAAGTGCTGTACAGAAAATAAGTTAAAACAATAGAAAAACAGAAAACAGCAAAATAAATAAATAAAACATAAAATTAAAACAGCCCTACATTAAAACAAAAACAAGATAAAACAGCATCGAATCACCTAAAAACAACTGATATAAAAATAAAAACCAACATCTCACATGGTGTCAAAGGCCAGGGTAAAGAGGTGGGTTTCCAAGAGTGACAGATAAAGAACTGGCCTGTCTAATCTCTAAAGGAAGCTCGTTCCACAGTTTTGGAGCTTCTACAGCAAAAGCACGATCTCCTCTAAGTTTACGGCCAGTCCTGGGTATCTTCAGGAGCAGCTGATCAGCTGACCTGAGAGAGCGGGTGGGTGTATAAGGCTGTAGCAGCTCAGAGAGATAAGATGGGGCTAGGCCATGGAGAGCTTTCAAAGTAAATAAAAGAATTTTAAAATGAATCCTAAAAGAAATGGGCAGCCAGTGAAGTGAAGCTAAAACAGGGGAAATGTGCTCAAACTTTCGAGTGCCAGTTAAAAGACGAGCTGCGGCATTTTGCACCTTCTGTAGATGACTAATATATGATGCGCTGACCCCAATATAAAGTGCATTACAGTAATCCAGCCGAGTGCTAACAAAGGTGTGGATCACTGTCTCAAAGTGCTGCCGTGAAAGAATTGGCTTTATTTTTGCCAGCTGCCTGAGGTGAAAGAAGCTAGATTTTACCACTGCCTTAATTTGATTGTTAAACTTCAGACCACAGTCCACTTTGACCCCCAGGTTTGTGACAGTTGGCTTAACATACTGGGCCAGGGAATCTACATACACATTGGGGTCTCAGTGGGGCTACCAAAAACCATCACCTCTGTCTTTTTATTATTGAATTTTAAAAAGTTAACAGACATCCAAACCTTAATGTCATCGAGACACTGAAGTAATGGCTGTGTAAGATATCTGCCTTTTTTCTTTAGAGGGACATAGATCTGACAGTCATCAGCATAAAAGTGGAAAGCAATGCCGTGCTTTCTCAGTACAGAACCAAGAGGAAGCAGATATAAAGAGAAGAGGAGGAGGCCTAGAACTGAGCCCTGTGGGACACCACACAAGAGGGGAGCGGAGGACGACACATAGTCACCGAGGCTGACACAAAAAATTCGCCCCGCCAAGTAGGACCTGAACCACTCCAGTGCTGTGCCCCTAATGCCCACCCAGTGCTCCAAACGAGAGAATAAAATGGCATACTGCATGTTACTTGACTACTGCATGTTTAAAATCTTTAGGGACAACACCTGACATCAGACTATGGTTTACCAGCTCAAGAACCAAAGGACCAACTGTAGGTAACACCCCTTTTAAAAGTCGAGGAGGGACAGCATCATTTGGCGACCCTGCAGGCTTAAGATGACCAACAGTCTCCTTTAAAAAGGACAGAGTCACAGGCTCAAACCTGTCAAAGGCAGCAGAGCAGGAAACAGAGACTGAGAGGTCATGAGCACAAGGAGAGATTTGAGCCCTTGTGGAGGAGACCTTGTCAATAAAAAAGTGTAAAAAATTTTCACAGGCTTCTGATGAGGGCTCGATACAGTCAGTATATGGTGCATTAAGAACAGAGTTAATAGTTTTAAATAAAACATGGCAATCTGACAAAAATAATGTCATATAAGTGTTTTCTTTTGGCATCTTATGCAGTTCTTTGATATTGACGCCAACAGTCCTTCAGCATCTGGAATGACACTTGTAGTTTGTCCTTTTTCACTTGCGCTCAGCTCGACGGCAGTCGAGTCCGACAGCTCGGGTCATGTCGTTCAGCCAGGGCTCAGATTTAGTTTTAGGCAGTCTGGTTTTTAATGGAGCCACAGTGTCCATATAGGCACTGACGTTGTGTTGTTTTTAAGCCCCCCCCCCACCCCCCACCCCTTAACTGCTTTTCTGTTTATTTAATTTGTAATGTAATCACTTATAATCCCGCCTTAATTGCCCATTAAGATATAAAATTGAAATGCTTTGGATTGTAAACCGTTAATTTGCCGTGATACTAGATTGTAACTACAGATATTTGGTTGGAAATTATTCACAGGTAAAGTTCAAAAATTAAAATTGCATTTAACAAAACCTGCGATTTGTTTTCATCATGACAAATCTGCCTCTGCAATACTGTTCAGATCTATTTTAACAAATCCCTGTCTTAATAATAATCAATAAAATGAGAAAAGAAACACATTTTCTAAAAAAAAAAAAATCAAATCAAATCATATCACTGCATGTATGGATGACTAGTAGGCATACTGTGAAAAAGTCATTCATGAAATAATATTGTTGCACCCACAACGTCGTCATGGGGCTGGGACTGTGACCTAGGGATCATGCGTTATTTTTTACTTTCATTTGTCTTCTCGAATGCTTATGGTTGTTTGTTGGTGTGATCTGCTCCTGGTCCCTTGCTTCCCTGTGCACGAGTTGGAGTGAGTTTGTGTGTTTGTGTGTGTGCCTGGAGAGCCTCTTGTCTTTGAGCCAGCCACACCTGGGATTAATCCCTCACCTGTTGCCGATCTGCCTATCAAGGAGCCCTACTTAAGAGAGCAGTGGAGCGGCAGTTGGTGTGGGATAGTTACACTAGGAACACAATTAGTTGTCAAGCTCATATGATTATGATTGTGATTTCTGTTATCTCTTATGGAATGGTTTAAGTGTTTTTGTTGGCTGGTAGATAGGACTGTACTGAGTGTGGCATCTTTTGTTTCTAGGTCAAATGCAGAAACGTGCAGAGGGAGCAGCACACTGTGTACATAGGCACCAAGGAGGACAAAGCTTCAACACATCAAGGAGAGGAATCACAACTATTAAGCTAGGCGGCTGATATGTATTTGCATTTGAATGTGTTAATAATGTATGTTTAAATGCTTTGATTATTTTCATGTTGGCTTGAAATAAAATATCTCCCTCTACTGTTACTCCAGTGTACTGCAACACACTGCAACTTCTGCATGCCTGTCCTCAAATGGAGATGACCAACATCCTTATTACACATTTTTCCCTGATTTGGGGTTGGTTATTACTGCTGCCCACCTGGAAAACATTAGCAAAAGGCTCCGACCACACTTTGGGATTCAATCATCGAGATCAGGGGTGTCAAGCATCAAGACGGATAGTTTTGAAAAATATGAAGGAGAGGATAAATGTTGGACTATTTACTACATTTCCCTACGTTTTAGAGCTTTGGCTACAAATAAAGACCTTCCCCGTGGTCAGAAGAGGTCCTGTTTTTTACAATGCGTTTCCATAAAAAAGGCCACCTGCAGTACCTTCACAGCCCACCAAGCCCAAACTCCCACAGTAAGACCAGATCTCAATGCTTATTGTTAGCCCAAACCTGCTAAATCAGCAGCTGGTGGTCTATAACCACCCAAAACCTTGCCATTCATAAACAGCTGGAGTCTCTTTGCCCTGCATCTCACACCACAAAACCAGAGTAGTGGCTTGTCTTCTGGTATCAGCCTTACTTGATGTCTTACTTGATAAAAACACACCTCAGTATTCAGTTTGGGTGCATCCTTCGTTATTAGCAGGGGCGTCTCTAAATTACCTGTGACCCACACAGCTTAGCACCTGAAGTAGATCAAGAGAGTCCTTCTGCATTCATGGAGGATACAGAACAAGATCACATGTTTAATCACTGATAATGCACCCAACATGATTGCCTGTGCACAACTTTTAAGTGCAACATGGGCATTTTTTAGGTTCACCAAAAATGTTTTTTGAGAAATTGCCAGGGAACATGAGCATCGCTTTCTCCTAAAAGTAAAGTGACCATTCTGTGTGTTCACATGGATTACTTTGTGTGTGTGTTTTCAGAGTCTGTTATTCCTTATAACCTGTTCACATCTGTCTTGGTTTTGATTTTGAATCTCAGTCTCTCAAACTGCCTCCAACACTGTACTAAGTGTTCATTTCTTTAATGA